AAATCCCTTGACTCTAAAGTAATAATATAACACCATCCTGTCAATGAATGTTGCAAAGTCAGGATCAGAATACTAGTCAATTATCTAGATCATCTTGGAGTTGTCAGAGTTCATACTTCATAGAATGAGCCAAATATGGATTAGCATGGTGTGATTTAGTGCTGATCATATCAGTAGGAAATACTTGCTTACTGTAGCTGCTGGTAGTCCTTGATGTCTGCCTGATATGCAATTTCTGAATTATTCCTGATGTTTGTAGTCATTTAGACATCACAGCACGTTGAACTATATCTTTGCTTTGTTGCATCAGGTTCACGTGGAGCTTCTATTTTGTCCTTTTGGGACGGAGAATGACTTTTCAAATCCTTTTGCTGTTCAGAAGTTCTCTATGACTTCCTTGGAGAAGGCTCTCAAAGGTAGCACAAATGGAACTGATACTGCTAACTTAGACCGGACAGCAACTCAAAGGAAAAAGGAGGTCATAGTGAGAGGAGTCCTTTCTGTGACAGTAATTTCAGCTGAAGACTTGCCTGCAATGGATTTAATGGGAAAGGCAGATCCATTTGTTGTGGTCCGTATGAAAAAAGCAGAAACAAAGAACAAAACGAGGGTAACTTCCTAGCACTCTTGGAAATTAAAGACCTCGTATTTGTTTTAAACATTTGATGTGACATAATTCTTTACAGGTGGTAAATGAAAGCTTGAATCCAACCTGGAATCAGACTTTTGATTTTGTCGTCGAAGATGGTTTACATGATATGCTTATGTTGGAAGTTTATGATCACGACACATTTGGAAAGGTATTGTACTTTTTTCCTTCATCTTCTCGACGATTATGCATCTGCATGAGGAACAAATGATGAATTCATCACATCATAGTCATATATAATATTTTTCATGTTTGTTAGTAGAAATTTAATGTGTTAACAATCTCATTCATGATCATAGGACTATATGGGTCGATGCATCATGACGCTGACGAGAGTCATAATGGAAGGGGAAGTGAGAGACAGTTTTCCGTTAGAAGGGGCTAAATCTGGAAAGATCAACCTGTACCTCAAGTGGGCAGCGCAGCCCATATTCCGGGACACATAATGGACTGAAGCTGAGCTGATTCTACTCTTTGTAAGGGCTGATCTTTTGGCCTTCTTATGTGTCTTTGTGCAGGTAGTACAGAAAAAAAATTCAAGCACTGTCTCACCTATTTCATTGCTACGAAGTCTTCCCCAGGTTGTGCAATAGAGGTTGTAAAATGCTCAACTCAATCTATCTGTCTGTTGTTTCCCATAGCGCTCCCATTTGGATTGTAGATTACACAAATGTAGACAGACAATTTGTTCTTTTTTGGGATATTCTTGTCATAAGACTTGTGCGAGTGGGTGAAGGGTGTAATAACTTAGCGGTGCCATGAAACATGCGGCTGTTCGCCATATGTGCCGTTGTAGTTTTGAAGTTCGAATTTTGGTAGAGTTATTTATTGACTTTAAAATCTCATCTCAAGTTAGTAGGAGAGATATAATTGTATTATCTATTTACCAAATTTCTTGCCATGGAGGAATTAAGGACTTGCATTTTTCTTAAAATCATGAGGTCATGGTATGACCTATCGATCATGACCAATCAATTGTTTAAAACATGATGGATTAATTATATATTATAATCTATAATTAGTTATTTTTAGTATTATGATATTTATATTTTAAAATATTATATTAATATTTTTAAAATTATGAAAGTAAAATATCTTAGTCTATTTACCTAACAACATTAGTTTTACTAATGAAAATAAGAAAATAAAAGAAAAAAAGATAATTATATACTAATAAAAAAAATAAAGGGTAAAAAGATAATTGTATACTAATGAATAGAAAAACAAAGAGTAAAAAAATAATTGTAATGTTCTAATTGGTGGTGACTGATGATCACGTCGGTAGGGATTGCGAAGGTTGTTTTGCATTTGTGTTGATGTAGATACACAAATGATATTGATGCAAATGTTGCTTTGGCATTTGCATTGGTGTCTCTTGACAACTGTATCGATATATATATAGTGGCTTTTACCTGCCCCTGACGACACCATTGTCGATCACCACTGATTGAAATATTAAAATTATTATTTTACTATTTTATCTTCATATTTTTTAAGGTAAAATCGATGATAATAAAATAAATGAATCTATATATTTCACTTTTATAATTATTATAAAGATATTAATATAAATTTTTATATTATATAAAGACTAAAAGTAATTAACTACATAGCTAATATTATAATTAACTTATACTTGACACATAATTGGCTCCATGCAAACTCATTTCGGAATACTTAAAAGAAAAAAGTGGCTAATTAGCATCTTTATAACTGTGGCAAGTATGCATCGAAATCAAAGCAATAAATAACATTACAGAAGGATAAAAAATGACCTATTTATTTCGATAATAACTACAAGACGTGCCGACGTTGGAAGGAGGAAGGCATTAAAGCCGACAACTCGTCAATCCTTCGGTTCTTCCCGCCGAGTCGAGACCAAATACGTACGCAACCATTTGCGCGTCGGAAGAAAGGAAGGCAGTAAAGCCGCCAACTCGCCGATCCTTCGGTTCTTCCCGCCGAATCCCTATCGTGTTAAGGCTCGCTCCGGCGGGCCCCACCTATTCGAATACTGGGAAGCACCATCTGACCCGTCCCCTTGCGAGCGACCTTTCAGAAGCCGCGGCTCCCTTTGCGGGGCCCACTGAGGTAGGCCGGCGGTTACCCAGATGGGTACTAAAAAATTATTGGTGTTTTGGGAATGTGCTCCATCGCGCCACCAAGACAACAGCTCGCCGGTTTGGCCGGCGCATGTTGTGCTGTCAGCCTCCTCCTCCACCTCCTCAGCCCTCTTCCTTATTTATCCGGTCGATTTAATTTTTTGCTTGATCTTGCGCACATTTTCCTCAATTTTGGCTCCCTCACTCCGCCCCAGCGCGACAATCCAAGCGGAGGAAGGGGGAAGACGGCCCTCGTGAGACCGAAGGAGGCAGACGAGATTTCTCTCACCGGGAAAGCTCGATTCGGTGATCCGAATAAGGGTTCAGATAAGTCTTTTCTGTCTTCTCTGGAGGATTTGTGGTTCAACTCGTTGATTTTTTTTTTTGGGGGTGGGGGGTGGGGGTGGGAGGGGAGGAGAATCGGATCTTGTAACCAAATCGAGTTTTTGTTGACTGAGCGAAACCCGTTTTTCGATTTGAAATATTCTTTTCGGTGTGTTGTGGCGGCTTAGACGGGGAAAAGTGGAGCTTTTGTTTCGTGCTCTAGGGTTTTCCTGGCCCCTTTCATCGATTGAGAGAAGACCCATCAACCCATTCACCTCCCATTCCGCTGTCTTTGCCCTTTGTTTCTCTTGGAAACAGTTGATTCGTTCTGGTTTACAGATCACATATATAGCGATCAAAACAAAATAAGTGAATTTTCTTTTTTGTTGAGAAAGGTTTTAGGTTTAGATTGTACTTGAAATAGAAATGGGCAAGCCGACTGCCAAGAAGAAGAGTTCACGAAGTAAACACAGTAATACAAACTCGAAGCACAGCAAATCCAACGAGCACAACCCAAAAGTCTACGATGAGGATACGACAATATTCATCGACATGGCTCGGGATTTAAAAGAGGAGGGCAACATGTTGTTCCAGAAGCGGGAGTTTGAGACAGCGTTGCTGAAGTATGAGAAGGCCACTAAGCTGCTTCCGAAGAACCACATTGATCTTGCATACCTCCACAGCAACATAGCAGCTTGTTATATGGAGATTAGCCCTGAGGATTACCACCTTGCAATAAACGAGTGTAATCTAGCCCTCAAGGTCTCACCCAATTACAGCAAAGCCCTACTGAAGAGGGCCAGGTGTTTTGAAGTCTCGAACAGGTTGGATTTAGCCTGTAAAGATGTCGATCTTGTTTTGAGTTCAGAACCGAACAACCTCACAGCATTGGAGATTTCGGAACGAGTGAAGAAGGAAATGGAGAAAAAGGGCGTCGTATTAGATGATAAGCCACTTTTTCCACTGCCAGAATCCTTGACAGTGAAAGAAAAGCCAAGGAAGAAGAAGAATAGCCACAAGTCCATGAAGAAGCTAGTTGATATGGGGGAGAAATATGCTGAAGTTAAGGAGAAGCCTATGAAGAGCATGAAGTTAGTTTTTGGGGAAGACATAAGATTGGCTCAGATACCAGCTGATTGTACAATGTTGCAGTTGAGGGAGATTGTTGGCAGCAAATTTCCAAGCTTGAAAGCTGTCCTTATCAAATATAAGGATAAAGAGGGTGATTTGGTAACAATCACTACATCTGAAGAGCTGAGATGGGCGGAAAAATCTGCAGACTCGCCAGGGTCTGTTAGGCTGTTTATTGTTGAAGTTAGTCCTGAGTTTGAACCTTTGCTTGAAGAGGCAAAAAACAGCTCTTCAAGGAGGAAGCTGGACATAGAAAATAATTCCATATCTGAAAGTGGGAACACAAGAAGTGATGATGACAGGGTCTCTTCAGTTTATGTTGATGACTGGATTGTGCAATTTGCTCAGCTATTCAAGAACCATGTTGGATTCAGCTCTGATGCATCTCTGAACCTTCATGAATTGGGAACGAAACTATATTCAGAAGCAGTGGAAGAGACAGTCACAAGCGAAGAGGCACAGGAAATTTTTCAACTTGCTGAGGATAAATTTCAGGAGATGGCAGCTCTGGCCTTGTTTAATTGGGGAAACGTGCATATGTCGCGAGCAAGGAAAAGATTGTCCTTACCAGAAAATGCCTCAAAGGAGTCACTGCTTGCACAGATGAAAACTGCATATGAATGGGCTCAGACTGAGTATGTTAAAGCGGGAAAGTGTTATGATGAAGCCTTGGAAATTAAGCCTGACTTCTATGAAGGTCGTCTTGCGCTTGCGCTGCAACAGTTTGAGCAAACAAAACTTTCATGGTATTATGCAATTGGAAGCAAGGCAGATTTGGAGAAGTGGCCATCATCGGAAGTCCTAGAGCTATTCAACCATGCCGAGGATAATACTGAAAGGGGAATGGAGATGTGGGAACAGATAGAAGATCAGCGGTTAAAGGGACTCTCTAAACCCAACAAGGAAAAAACCTTGTTGCAAAAGATGGATCTTGAAGACTACTTCACAGAGCCCTCAACTGATGAGGCGGCAGAAATTGCTTCAAATATGAGGTCTCAGATAAATATATTATGGGGAACCATTCTTTATGAGCGGTCTGTTGTGGAATTCAAATTAGGCATTCCAATGTGGGAAGAGTGCCTTAAGGCAGCGGTAGATAAATTTAAGCTAGCAGGTGCTTCTCCAACTGACATTTCTGTTATGATAAAAAACCACTGTGCCAATGAAACTGCCCAAGAAGGTACAAAAATTTGTCATATAAGTGCTGCTCTTGTTTCTTTACTCTTTAACTATAGGTAGAATGAAAAATTCGTTACCAAACTTGTGAATGAGAATAGCTAAAATCCTCTAAATCTTACATATTATGTGCTACTGATTTATGCAAAACTTCTTGAAACATGGCTTGCTTATTCTTTAATTCTTTAATCCTTTATTGCATCTGTATCATTAGTGCTTCAATCACTAATAGGACTGTTCATGTTATGTTTTGTGCTGTTAGTATATCTTTTTTTTTTTTTATACCAGTGCAGGTATCAAGCTAGTAAATGCTGCTTTGTGCATATTTAGCAAAAAGTTTTCCACTACTACTGCTACATGGTAGCTGTTGTTCCAAGTATAACTGTTATCAGAAACCTTAAGACAGCATCCATTTTGAATAGGTGCAACACTTGAAAGTTTATTATCAAGAGAACAGTTGAGGATATTTGGCATGGACAAATATTTGATTGAATGTTATAACACGATATTTTTGTCGCTCCTGATTTGGCATATTTCCCTAGAATCCATGACCTGTTGCTTGTTCTATTTGTTTTAGGCATTGGTATTCACCTAATTGTTTACATCATCTCTCTATCCAAGTTTTTCTGGCACTGGAAGTAATTAGAAGGAACGCTACACTTGGTTCAAGTATCACCTTGATAGCCAAATAAGTTTGTCTTCTCTGTTGATGTTTTTAAAAATACACCTAAGCAATGATCTTTCATCAAACTTTGATTATCTACTTAGACTAAAGTTGGCATGGAAATGACTATGTTAATTGTTTTTCTTTATTTGCAGGATTAGGCTTCAAGATTGATGAGATAGTTCAGGCATGGAATGAGATGTATGATGCAAAAAAGTGGATAAGCGGTGTTCCATCATTTAGGCTTGAGCCTTTATTGCGGCGACGAGTCCCGAAGCTGCATGATACATTGGAGGCATCAGTTTAGAATTTATGGGCATTATTGAGAATATCAAACCGTATTTTGCTATCTGCTGTCTGTGTTTTAAATAGGTAGTATTCTCATTTTTCGTATCTAAAATATAAGAGTCGTATCTAAAATATAAGAGCTTTGCATATATTGTTAAGGTATTGTTATCTAAGTTAGCTCTTTGCATATATTTTGTTGTTAAGGTATTGATTGTTATCTAAGTTAGCTGTAGAAATTAACAAAATGGGGCTATTAGGACTTGTCTTTTAGCCTTATCCATCTTATTTTGTGTATACTGTTCTTTTTTATCTGCTTGATTAGATTTGCCTTGTTTGTTTTGAATTTCTTGAAATAATCTTAACATCAGTCATTTGGTGTTACTATTTTTTTTCTTTCTTTTTAGATCACAATATTTGTCTTTCAGTTAATTTTATGATTTCAGTATTTATCATCTTTGTTCTTCAGGGTTTTTCCTGATAAATTATTCATGAAGGAACCAGGAGAGCTATTCGACTGCATTTAAGATCAAAACACATAAGTGTAGCTGAAAGTTCACAATCACTATTTATTAACTTCAAACTAGTTTACTCTAGCTCTTGCTGGTTGTTCCAGCTGTATAATGTTTTAGTAATGTTGTGGTAGCTTTTGACTTGACCATCTTACAATGTTAAGTTGTTCTATGAGTTGCACACGTAGTGGTAGAAATAATATAAAAATTCATCATGGATCGGCAAGGACAGTGCCTAAAACTGCATGATCAACTGTAAACCATGGAGGGACATGTAAGTTGATTGACATATTAACTCATCGAGAATGAGTAGTTTTGGGATTTTAATTGGATGCCATTCTTTTTTGGCTCCTTTGTTCATATATACATCTGTCCTATATTTGGACCATTAGCCTGCAATATATGGTGAAGAACTTTCAGGACAAATTTCAATAGGTAATGGCCTGTATTGCTGTGTCTTAAATAAGATAAACCTGTAGAGCAATGAACAGTTTGTCAGAACATGCCGGCTTTGCTATTAACCTACCATCATGATTTCTGCAGAAGAATTTTTATCGCTAAGGCTGATACGAACTCGTCTGTTCTTTCTTTGTAATGATACTTTAAGAGACATCTCCTAACAAAACCTGGTTGCTTTCCTTGCAGGTATGTTTTAGTTCATGGGCCGGTGCATCTAATTGTTTACTTTTGCGTAGAAGAGTTCGTTTCCGGAGTCATAGCAAAATTCTTTTTTTTTTTCCTCTCGTGTACCGGTCTGGTGATACTTGCTCGTAGAACTGAACTTCTTCCGTGTGGGAGTGCTTTTTTCTTCCTTTCATGCACCAGGCCGGGGATCCTGGTGCTATATATGTCTTGATACTTGCTCATGGAGCATAACTTCTATGGAGTTGAGAGCCTGACCAGCCCTCTTCATGTTGGTTGCAGAATTTTGATTCTTTGTTTCTAATGTTTTCCCTAGCATATTGTATGTTAGTATTCATTTGTGCTAAAGGCTTGTTCTTCATCTGTTGTATATTCATTTTTTTGACCATTATGCTTCTGGTCTGTATCGAACATACAGGTTATTAATTTCAGAAAAAAAAATAATTTGAATAAATTACTCTGGTAATTTATGGTCTGTCTATGGCTGCCCTGACAAATGCAGGCCTGGAAATATGTGAAGGAAATAATGTGACTTTGAAGTTTTTGGTAGCTAACTCATATTGTAGTTTGGCATGAGCTGAATTAAATGGAATTTGCATTCCAAATTGTCATGGTGCACATATCATACAGTTACTTTTTTTTTTTTTTGCTCTCATAAGATATAATTTTAAATGTTTTATCTCAATGTTAGAGAAGTTATTTCCATATTTATTCCAAAGCATATCATGATATTTGATTCCTCCCTCATTTCAAAATTTGTGTAGGTTTGGGTCATTAATTTTACCCAAAATTATAAAATGAATGTATTAATTTTCCTCATAATGAGCCTTTCCAAAATTGTTTGGTATCATATTCTTAGTCACACACTTATTATATGTTCACAATTTTGAAATTTTATTTTATTTATCACTGTTTCTCATTACATTTCTTTTCTTCGTTGTTGTATTTCTTCCACGATTTCGCAACAAAAGACTTCTTAATTTATTTTCTCATAAAATAATTATTTTTATCATAAATTATCATTTAAAATATAGTTAAATTTATATCACAAATTATAATAATGATCTTATTTTAATTTGTTATAATCAATTGCATTTTTTTTTTACCCATATTTAATTCCGGACAAAATAATTAGGGTATAGATGTAATTTTCCCCTCCATTGAATCGATCGAGTCGATGAGCTAAGACTTGGAGGAGTCCAAACCTGACTAGGGTGAAGCCTATTGCTGAACTCAATGTTGCGCAGACGAGTGACGAAGCCCAACTATACATATGAGAACTCGTCGTCGAAACCGTTCACGAGCACTCGGGTTTTGGATTGGCCACGGAGGAGCTCCACATTTGCCCTCTCTCCGCCGCGGATTGCTCGTCTCATCTTGCTCCTCGATCGATCATGGCTGAACAGGTTTGGCAACGTTTTCCTCTGCTGCCTTTTCTTTTTGTCGCGGACTCGATTTGATGCCCCGTTTAGGGGTTTAAGCGTTGTTGGAATCGTTAGCGCCTTGCAAGATCCCGCTGTTGATCGGAGGAATACATTCTGATTTCTTCTGCTGTTTGTATTGAAATGCCTGCAAATATCTGAGTGAGGCAACTGAGGGGTCTGTAGGAGTATTATTTGTTGTCTGGAAGACTTCTTGTTCTTGAACGCGATCAATTGGGACACTGTTTGATTGAACCATGTTTACCTAATTGTTATGCTTTACGCCGCGTTGCCTTGAATCCTGTCGACCAATGCCTTGATCATGCGTGGTGTCGGTGTTGCCCATTTGTTGCGCTGCTTTCTTCCTTAAAACGCATGTGCATATGCATTTATGTTACGAGCTATCTAAGCAATTCAATACCTGCAGGTGATCTATATATTTTAGGGCATAGTTTGCCTGTAAGTCTGTTGGCTACTTTTGGTGTAATTTCTTATGTGTATTACGTGTGTATAGGATTTATTAGGGCATTTCATCTTAGGAACGTAGGAACTATTCATGCCTATTTAATTAAGAATGTGTGCTCTGATTATTTTGTTTGTATGCTCTTTAATCAGACAGAAAAGGCATTCTTGAAGCAGCCGAAGGTATTTCTGTGGTGAGCACAAGGACAATCTTTTATTAATTATTATATGGGAAGAACTCTATGCAGAAGGATTTAATTTAAGAATGTTGGTAATTTGCAGCTAAAAGAAACCTGGAAAAGGTGGCAATAGATTCTGGAAGAGTATTGGTCTTGGCTTCAACACTCCCAGAGAGGCCATCGAAGGTCTGGCCTCATAACTGTTTCTTGCATGTTAGATTTGAGTCTTGCAGTTTGTTCATTCTTCTTTTTCCTTCCTGGATTCATTTTAGTTGGCCATCCTTACATGGTCTTGAATGTACCCTTGGTTATCTGTTGTTTTTTTTCTTTTTATTTGAAGCGAATTCATGATTTTGTTCCATTACATGCTAGAATATTCATGCTTGCAAAGTAAATTAGCCAATTTTTTGCTATTTGATTGCCTAGGAAGTGAAATGAAGTAATGGAAAATGCTTACAGTTATTGCAGCTAAATTTATAAGCAATGAAGTCATTGTCATTATTGGCAGATCTCGCGACTGATATTTGGTTGTCATTTTGAACAGATTTTTCATTTTTACTTGAATGTCTTTAGGACAGGGGTTTCAATAGGTGCTCGTGCACTCGGGTGAGGCGAGGTGAGGCTTGAGTGCCTCAAGCCTTCACTGAAGCACACCGCCTGGGCGCTCGCCTGAACGCAGGCGTCGGGCATCTTGGGTGAGCGTCTGAGTGAAACGAAGCGTTCAATTGAACAATAGCTTAGGTGGTTTAATTGAACCAACTAAACTATATAATGTTATTAAACCTACGCACGCAAACCCCGCCCCCCGTGCAACCCCAAGCCATAAACCCTACTTTGTGCCCAACTGCTACCTTTGTCGTCGTCGCTTCCTCTGTCGTTGCCTCCATCATTGATGCATAATATTGACTCTTTCTCTACCATTAACGGATGGGTTCAAAGGTCTAGCTTTCGTATGTAGTTCCCTTTGTCATCGCTGCTTCCATGTGCATGTCCTTCCATCATCAAAGGAGCGGACTGTAGCTTCCTCTGCCATTAACAGATACATCTGAAGCTTCCTCCGCCCATGACGTCACCATCCACAGCTTTCGTTGTCGCCATTGTTACCATCCGAAGCTTTCTTCGTTCTTATTGTTGTCGTCCGTAGCTTCCTCTGACGTCGCTGTTATCGTCTGAAGCTTCCTCTATTGTCATTTGTCGCTTCCTCTATCGCTGTCGTCATCGTCCGAAAGTTCCTCCATCATCGTTGCCCTCTCCCTCCCCACTTTCCATCGTCAATATATATATCTCTTCTCCCCTCTAACTACTGTTAGTAGTAGATTGTTAACTACTATTATCATATAATAGTTCCTATTTAGATTTTAGCATTATTAAATTTTATTTATTAATTATATTTTATATTTTATATTTTTTAATATTTCAGAACGTCTTGTTTCACTCAGGCTGGCACCACCTAGTAGCCGCCTTGGGCATTTTTAAACCTTGACACTTTTTGGCTCATAACGTTTTTTAAATAATTACTTTGGGATAGGGAGAATGTTTCATGAAACCTGAAAATAATTTTATTACAACTAATTCTTGTCTATTATTCTGTGCTTAAGGAGATGAAACCAAACATGTACCAGGGTTGGATGTCAAAATTAAGGGAGAAATTACACTTAACAGGGAGTCATGAAATAGTTGGATCACATTTAGTTAGTAGCTTAACTATTGTCATATCTTACTGTGTGCCTCTTTTGATGATCACATACAAATGGCTATGGCTGTTCTGTTACATGTCTCATTTACTTTGACATAACATTTGACAGCGTGGACAAGTTTTTGCAGTTCTAATCAGAAGATTGATGCCCATGTCCACAGAGGGTAGATTGTACAGTCATATTACTTTCGGCTTCTGCAGAACAATAGTAATGTTTCAGGCCAGAGTCTTGTTGTGACATCTTAAATATAGGAATTGGTAGTCATTTTTCTCAGTGATTGAATATTTGAATCTGTCTTCTGTTCGCAGTTGCTGTCATGTGTTCACTGCTCGTGTTTTGTTTTGATCATATACATGTGCATCTAATGTATTCCATCTTGTGCTTTACAGCATTTTTTTACTTCTGATTTAGAAAGTCTACATGTTCGCTCCATTCTTTTCCCACTTATGAACCAATATGGTTTAGTTTTCTTTGGTATATTTGGTATTGGATGTCTAATGTTAAAGGTTTTGTTCCAACATGAAAGCATAATCTTTTAATGTTTAGCACGTCTAATTTGTTTTGGTCCTTCTTGACTCTCTGCGATTGAACTCTACTCATGTATTTACTAAAATCTATGAAGAACCAGTGATTTAAAAAACGGTAGGTGCCAATGTCCTAAAACGTCCGGGGCTCTAGGTGCTTGCTCAAGAGTGAAACGAGACGTTCTAAAATATAAAATATAAAAATATAAAATATAATTAATAAATAATTATTTTAAAAAATATGATATTAAATTAAGAAAATTACAAAATCATAATGTCACATTAACAAAAGTCTCAAATTTAAAACAATAAAGTTTTACATCAAAGTCATTCATCATAATCAACATTATCATCATTTTTAAACAATTCATCTTCATTGAGTTTGTCCTCTTCCTTTTGTCCTTCCTCTTCATCAAAATATGTTTCATTCTCTGTCTTCAATAACAACGTCAACAATAGTAGGAGTTGAGCTTGATGTTGTTACACCCATTTTTCTTCTCGTTATCTGTCTTGTATATGCTTGTAATTCTCTAATACCTGAAACTCTGGCCACATCTCCCTATATTAATATATCATCTTTAGATACAAGCTCCTTTTCAACATCTTACAAGTTGACGCCCATTTCTCCCACCAACCACTCATTTGAATCATAAATATCTTGTAATGAGATTGAATCAATTTTATTTCACAAATCATGACGAGCCTTCGAAGCTTGATTATACTTGATATAAATAAGATCGTATAATCGTTGATGTTCCAACCAATTTCTTCTCTTTGAGTGAATATGTCATGTCATATAATTTAAAAATATATTAATACATCTATCAAAAAAATAAATTAATTAAAACAAAAATATTCAGTAATTCTTATATGCTCAAAGATACTCCATTTTCACTCACAACCTGCAGCACTACATATCAAACTAAGTATTTTTATAGCAAATTGCTGCAGGTTCGAGGTGGAATTTTCAAATAGACTCCATCATTCAGTTGTAAAATTTATGTTATTATTAGTAATAATATAGTAACATACTATAGATGAAATTAATTATATCAAATTATTAATACTTAAGGATGTAGTTCTCCTAGATCGAACTACCATTGAAATTTTAAAAAGACCATCGATATTTTTATATAGAGATAATTCACGAATAATCTTATCCTACACCTCAA